GCTGAGAAGGCTGCATGGAGACAGAGCAGGCAAGCAGGTAGCAGGGGCCGGGGAGGTAGGGTTGCCACCTTTTCTTCAAGCGAAACCCGAACACTCAAGCGACGCGCAGACATTTTTTGGAGGGAATGAGTCGCAGCTTATTCATATGTAAATAGCGCCTCACACTCATATGTAAATATCACAGTTGAGACTATTTTCAGTGGGGGGAGCCAGTAGCCCCTATCTTAATTTTGGTTGCCCCTGTCTGCCCGACATCTATTGTCCGGGTTTCAGCTGCCATGAAACCCGAACACAGCATTCAAAACCCGAACTGTCCGGGTGAATCCTGGACAGGTGGCAACCCTACGGGGAGGGCTTGTATTCTTGTGAGTGTGCGTCTATTTTTAGTCCCAAGTCCAGCGCCTTACTAATTGTGGAGTCCAGCTCTCCGTTGGGGGTCACCACAACTTGGCAAATGTTACCAAGGGGTCCCAGCCCTAGAAAGGTTGAGAACCACTACCCTAGACAGACTAGAGATGACCCGGGTTATCCCAGCGGCTCCTTAGGGGGTGAGCGCTGCATGAGATTATAGAGATCGGGATTCCATCCACTTTATTGCATGATTCTAGTGAACAAAAGACAAGAAGCCGCGACTCCAGACAAAGTTGTTTTTATTTCCCTGCTTTCAGACAATCTTACAGCGAGTCAGCATTTGACCCTAGATACACCAACAGACACGACCAAGGTACTTATAGGAGTAGCGCCACTTAGCCAGCGGGGGGTGGTCCCAACAGCAGCCAATCAGATATAAGTCGCAAAACAAAGGCCTCCACTTTCACATCGTCCAGTGAAATTAGAGCTCGCTTCCTGCAACGCTTCCACCCTCTTGGCCACCCACCTCCAGTTATCCGTTACGTCCTCCCAATGGAAACCCAACCTCTTGGCGCCGCGTTCTCATACACACAGGACGTACATAGAGTGCTCTATATGACTGCTTTTAATCACAGTGGGCGAAATAAGTGGCACTTTTTCATTTTTTTTGCCCTTTTTATTTTTGAACAACAAAAATAAAATAAAATTCTTTTTCAGAGGCAGTAAGGTAAGCAGCGAATCTGAACACCCCTTCATAAAACAAAAAGCTGCGCTTTATTGAACCCTTTCATGTAAGAAGTGATTACCTATGTTCTTAGTCTCCTAGAAAAGCTGCCGCTCTATGCAAAAATAACACACCTCTAGTACAAAAATAAGTGTACAAAAGTAGTTTAGCAGCTATACGATGAGTGTGCGCCGCCGCGTAGGTCTTATCTGCTATTCAAAATATATCTGATGGTTGAAAGAAGCTCTTCCTGCGGGATATTGTGCTCAGTGAACAGTCTCTGAGCCACTGAAAAGGCGCACAGGTCTCTATCGACAAATTATTTCTGCCTATTCAGCAAGATCGTCAACATGGAGCTAACTGCAAGTCAGCTGAAGAGTGAAACTGGATTTTTAAAGTGCGTCTGTGGGCCCGAAACCCTTTTGCGGTCCCCAGAATTTATCCCAGCGGCCAAGTCGCTCACACTTCCGTTTTCAGCACAAACTATCGTTGGCCGCACACACGTTACTATCTGGAACACTGTGGATTTCATATATAAAGGTTCTGTCTGCACGGCCTTAGCGCCCCTAGATGGTGCTGACGATGCTATACTCATCAGCGCCATCTAGGGGCAATAGTAAATGGACCCCTAACATTACACTCAATCTGTATCCAGCCAGGTGTGCCTCCAAGCCTCCTCAGGGGTGCCTCAAAATGTTATGGTTGTGGGACTGTGATGTGAAGGGGGGGAATGAAGACTGATGTGAAGTGGGTTCCTGATCTAAAATATGAAATGGGGGGACTCTGATAAGAGGGGCTCCTGATATGAAGGGGAGCTACTGATGCCAAGGGTGACTCTGATGTGAAGGGGGGAAATCTTGATTTGAAGAGGCACTTCCATGTGAAGGGGAAACCTACCTCTTGGTGTGTTTCTACATGGGGTCCCCCTTAAAATCATAACATTTTAGACTGGGGTGCCTCAAGGTTTTGCATACTTGATTAAAAAAGGTTGAGACTAATCTAGATTGTAACGTGCATGGACAGCTCAACAGCAATCTTCTCCTCTGAGAAGCTTATATCAGTTTCACCAGCGGGGAATCTTCACACGCAAGCACCAGTGAGAGGAGAGATTGGCAGAAGAAACTTGGGGTTATCAACAATGCAGTGACTGTTTTTTTTTTTTCAGGCTGCTATGTGTTGCAAAAACTAGTAGTGGGTCGGTCTTTAGGACAGCCCGTACTCTACTCTATAACTGGGGCAGCCATTTTGCCGTATGGCCAATGCTTTTGGTCAATGTGTGTCTTTGCTTTTGCCAACATCAGCATTATATCAGAATTGCTTTCCCAAAGTAACAGTTAATGTGAAAGCAACAAACACTGAATGTTGTAATATGCCATCTCAACGTCTGTTAAAGTGCATACACTGTTAATACTATTTTAATACTTACATGTAGCCGTAATTTGGAAAGTATTTTTTTTTTAGCCGGCACTCCTAAATTAAATGTATTCCGGGAGAAAAATAATGGCTATGCACATAAATAGGAGGGAACCTTCTGGAATAAAATGTGACCAGCACTTTTTTGTTTTCATACCAGATGGGTCTTTACATGCCAGAAAGTTTCAGACTTTCCGCAAGGTGCACCATCTACAAACGGAGGAGGCCATTTTGTGACCTAACCACGAGTTAGGATGGCTGGTTGGGCCTTTTTTCGGCTGACCTTAAACAGATGTAGATGACGGTAAAGCAGAGATCCCAACCTACACTGGGATCTGTTGGGCAATATGCAGCTGTGTGGCCGTGTAAGATATATTAAAAGAGATGTCCAAGATTAAATGTGGATTCTCATGATCATTCGATAACAACATTCACCCAGTGACTTCTTAAAGGAATTGCCCAATGACTTACAACAACTGTTCACACGTTGACTGCGCACAACTACTCACAGACTTTGGCAGAGCACAACCATCTAGAAACCACTACCGAAGGCAATGAGTGCAGTTTTTAGAGACTCCTAACAGGAACAGGCCAGCAATTATGGGCCAGCGTTCCTTCCACTATAGAAAATTAGCCTACCAGTGCCGGTGAGGGCTTGAAATGCAAAACCGGGACTGAAACAGGTCCACAAAAAAACACACTGTGGATGCACTGGAGAATAAAAATTAGAGCAGTGGTTCTCAACCTGTGTAACCTCAGGACCCACATTTGTCCTTGGTCATTAAGTCGCGACCCAAGTGGCACCACACTGGAACGCACGGCATTGCGGTAGCGCATGTTCCGGTGCAAGCGATCAAACTGTGGGCAGGAGGTGTGCGTTTGGGATGCCATTCAAATGAATGGCAAAGCAACGCACCTCCCGAATCAGAACAAACAGTAGGTGCGATTAAAACACTGACAGACACACAGCCACAGACACAATCTCACACACATTCTAACACACATACATCCCAAAGACTTTTAGGGGTTTAATGTGGGCTGCTGTGCTGTGATGGAGCTCCATCCATATGTGCATTGCTTGTACAGCTCCGTGCACTCCCTGTAGAGGTGCCAGAACGTGATGTCACTTCGGGAGCTGTAAGCAATGCACGTATAGATGGAGCTCCCTCACGGCCATACCCCCAGACCACCCCACACTGACACTCTCCGCCAGGCAGCATATTTTGAATGGCTGCTCGGCATGCGAACTGACAGTGCTGCGCTATGGGGGAGGCTGAGGAGCCTCTCACCTAGTGCAGTGAAAGGCATGCGGCCACCCACTGAACATGGGGTCGCGACCCACCAGTTGAGAACCACGGAATTAGAGGTTCTGCTCTATTAAAAAAAAAGGACTGATGGGAACTATTTGTCTGTAGGAACAGTACAGGGATAAAGTATAACAAAGCAGATCGCTTGTATTGCACATAGAAGATTGCTACAAAATTGGACCTTTGGAAATTTGCTGAATAGGCAGAAATAATTATCAGGATAGCCTGGCACCGAATATACTGAGACATCTGGTCTAAAGTAATTTTATGATGGAGCATGACAAACTTGCAATGGCTGAGACTCCAGGTGACCAACCTCTGGGTTGAGACTCCAAAGAAGCTTCCAAAATAAGGTTACAGGGCCACTACATTGCTTGAAATAATCCTTCTGTAGGACTCTGTTGAAAAACACATTTCTAGGTTTTTCTCAATTAATGATCGCTCATTGGAGGGTGTGAGAAAATGGTACCCTGACCTTTGGGATCACAACATAACATTTGAGCAGTTTGGCCTAAAAGACAGGCATTCCAGTCAAACTTTGTTCCTGTTCCTCTTAACCAAAGCAAGAATCTGCTCAATGAAGAATACATTTCTAGGATGGAGCCTCAACAATAAAATAAAGACAATCAGTGGTTCTGTAGTTCCACATTTCAGGGGCCCCTGCACAACGAAACGCATCCATGCACATTCCTGCTGTTGCAGGACATTGATAAGATCAACTTTGGTCCAGCAGGTAAGAGAAGGGTGCAGTATTAGCATCAACACCATACTCTGCCCTGGCCTAATGGTGTCTCTTCCACAAATCAGAGTTATCTTTAGTGGCCGGAGTACAACAGCAGGAGCCCATCAACAGGATATAGAAGTTGACTTTGGTTTTGAGTTTTACTCTAAGTTACTTTAGATCTGGTAACCTCATTGCCCCAGTATCTACCCCCACTGATGAGTGGAACATTCACAGACCATTTCCACAGTTATTAACTTGGTCAGTATATACTTATTTGAACAAGTGGCACAACACTGCATGACCACATATTATCAAGGACACTTGTCTAGTATATAATTATGCCATAAAGCACACCGATGCTATATCTGACATCAATCAAACCACGGTGCGACAGGAGAACGTAGAGATCTTTCTGGCTTCGGAGTATGTCCATCCACAAAGCATACTTTTCTAAGCAGTCAGTTGCAACAATTCGATTCTAAAAATGCCAACACCAGACACTTCTTTGGACCGGAACGCGTAGGTATCCACGTTGCTCATACGATGGACGGGAGCTTTGCTTTTCCTCTCAAGACCGTGGTCCATTTTCAAATATCTTGCTGTACCTTTTAAATATTTTTGGATTTTTTTTTTTTTTTTGCTCATTTTCTTCTTCAAAACTTACTTCGTAATAAAGAAAGGCAGCTACTGACATGTCTTTATTTCGTGTCCAAACTACATAAACAAAAACTATCAAGAGCTAGGCTTAAATCCGAGTCCTCCTACGCTAATCAAGACTTAAAGCTTCTGCTAGTCAATGCCGCCACTTGTCTTCAATATCAACCTTTCATATTCTCCTCTTCAAGTCCTCCTGACGACTGTACATCCAGGGTGTCAGTGCTGGTAGTAGATTAAACAGCGAAAGAAAGAACGTCTTCAGAAGGAGCGCTATTGCTTTTTTTTGTGCTTTTTTAGTGAGATTTTAAGCTGCTGAAGGCTGATTGGTCTATGACGAGGATCCTGAGATTAATACACGAGGCTTATTTTAGTAGGCACAAGATGGTTCTTCAACAGGTACTATTGGGCTAATAGGCTTTATGGTGCTAAGGGAACGGAAGGCAAACATCGCCGGGTCATAGACGTAATGTGGAGCCTGGCGACCTCCGCCGATACTCTGCGGGACAAAGAAAATACAGTTTAGTAACTAAAATAAGTAGACATGTAAGTGCAAAAATAGAAAGCAAAACATAACCTGTTTCTTAAGGTACATAGTTACATAGTATTTGAGGTTGAATAAAGACACAGGTCCATCAAGTTCAACCTATTGCGTGTATGTATGTGATTCTGCATGTGTATGCGTGTGTATGAGTCCCCGTGTGATTTTGTTTTTAAGTGTACCTGTTCCCCTGCATATGATGGTCTCTAAGGAAATTGTCCAAATGCTTTTTGAATGATTCAATACTCTCAGCTGATACCACTGCTTGTAGCAGAGAGTTCCAGACCCTAACCGCTCTAACTGACACGAAGCCCCTACGCCCCTTGTGAGAATGCAGCCTATCCATTCACTAGAGACCGGTGACATCACTGAGAGTGCAGCCTATCCATTCACTAGAGACCAGTGACATCACTGAGAGTGCAGCCTATCCATTCACTAGAGACCGGTGACATCACTGAGAGTTCAGCCTATCACTTCACTAGAGACTGACTATTCGGTTTGTGTACGTGCTCCAGTAACTGGAGTTACAAAACTTTCCATCTGTTCCAATGCAGGAGAATTATATGCTCATGCTCATTGTAAACTGTATGGTTTCAATTATACATATTTACTTTTTGCTGGATTAACTGTATATATCGGAGGAAGAATTTATATACAAAATAGCACAACGACAATAACACAGAATAAAAATATACATTGCGGAGTGCTTAGTAACATATGGTATGCACTCGGTGACCTCGAACCATTTACCAGCTGTACGGGTGCCAGTCTGAAATCGGTTGTAAGTGGGCAACACAGTCACATTCAATAAAGCAAACCTTAGAAATAAACCAACCGATATGCTTTAATGCTGATGTACCCCAAGCAAAGATTGCCAAAATATATGAATTGGCAGTCCCAGCTATTAACAGTTTAAAGAGACACAGTCACCTTGAACTCAAAACCACGTTGGAGGGGCAAACCTGTTGAGCGATCTGCCTGCCTTCTGTCGTTGAGGTTCACCCCTTTAAAAAAAGAGGAGGGCCCTTTCTATAATGACTTTATCTCATTTATCACAACGTGTAATGAGAGCTACCGGATTGGTGCCTCCCCACTAACTGGTGGACCTTTGTTGCATCTAGTTATGTCTCTAGATCTGCTGGCAACAAAAAACCTGACAGAAGTTCTAATCAGTGGCGTCACAAGGGGGGTGCAGGCCCGCACATGGGTGCCACCATTGGAGGGGTGACACCAAAATGTAGGGGCCCAGCGGCATTCCTCATCTCGCCGTGTGGACGTCCCCTCCTCTCTCTGCCGGCGTTCATCACCAAGATGGCCGCCGGCAGGTGTCAATAAGACGACCGCGCATGCGCGATGACGTCACGGCGGGGTGTCACCCGGTCTCTGCTCCGGGCGACACCCAGCCTCGGCAGTAGCGTAAAGCTGAGGGGGGAGGGGGAGCGGCCGAAAAATTGCACTTTTGGCTAAATGCAAAAAGTGCAATTTTCCTGCCGTTTTGTCGGCGCAGCCATGATTTCTTTCCTCCCCGCTGGGCACTGCTCTTTGTCCCAGCGGGAGGGGAGGGGGACAATGACAGCCGGCCGAGCGCTGTGGGAGGAGACCGCCATGAGCTGCCGGTGTCTCTCCTCCCACAACGCTCAGCCGCCTATCACAATGCGGCAGAGCGGTGTGGGGGCAGAGACAGCCCACGCTGTCACAGGAGGCTGGGCTCTCTCGCTCAGCCTCCTGTGAGAGCGTGTGACAAAGGAGAGCGAGTACAAGCAGTCAGTGATCGCTGAGTGTTTGTAAATAATTGAGGACATGGTATGTGTATTATATCCTCAATTATGAATGAATGGGAAGTGATCTACATCTCCTCCTGTTCATTCATAATTGTGGTTATAGTAAACATACTCTTTTATCAATGAACAGGAACACTCATAGAGGATTCCTGTTCATTGATAACAGGGGATACAGAAAAAGAGATTGAGGACTCTGTGTTCTCAATCTCTTTTTCTATTTTAAAAGGGAAATATCAGGGGTCTGTTTAGACCCCTAATATTTCCTCGTAGCCCCTAAAAAGTACAAAATAAAAATATTTACTAAAAAATGCATTAATAAAAATAAAAAAAATTAAAAGTTTATAAAAAAATAAATAAAAATAAAATATTAAAAAGATTT